AAAAGCATTCTGGGCAAAATACAATGGAGAATGCATAGAGGTTTCGGCAAAATACATACCAAAAAAAAAGCATTCTGGGCAAAATACAATGGAGAATGCATAGAGGTTTCGGCAAAATACATACAAAAAAAAGCATTCTGGGCAAAATACAATGGAGAATGCATAGAGGTTTCGGCAAAATACATACAAAAAAAAGCATTCTGGGCAAAATACAATGGAGAATGCCTAGAGGTTTCGGCAAAATACATACAAAAAAAAACATTCTGGGCAAAATACAATGGAGAATGCATAGAGGTTTCGGCAAAATACATACAAAAAAAAACATTCTGGGCAAAATACAATGGAGAATGCATAGAGGTTTCGGCAAAATACATACCAAAAAAAACATTCTGGGCAAAATAATACATACAAAAAAAAACATTCTGGGCAAAATGCAATGGAGAATGCCTAGAGGTTTCGGCAAAATACATACAAAAAAAAGCATTCTGGGCAAAATACAATGGAGAATGCATAGAGGTTTCGGCAAAATACATACAAAAAAAAACATTCTGGGCAAAATACAATGGAGAATGTAGATTCACGCCAAGAAAATTTAAAATATAAAATATTATAAATTCATCTTTTTAAAATGATAAGCAATATTTTTTTATAAAATGGTAGGCAATATTTTTTATAAAATGGTAAGCAATATTTTTTATAAAATGGTTACAACATTTCAAAAAATGGTTGAGAAATTAACGTTTATAAAGTGGTAACACACTCGTCTCGCAGTAAGATCGATAGATAGATAGATACATAGAAGATAGGCTGGTAGGTAAGTAGATAGTCAGAGAAAGAGAGAGAGAAAGAGAGGAGACCTCAAGCACCTTTCGGTCCATCAGTGGCTTCGCTCTGCCATCCCTCATTCACAACCACCAAGCTCTCCTATAGGTTTCCTATTTTTGAAACTTCCGCCACCGCCTTGTGCGGTACTACTGGTATATATATATATATAAAATGAGCTTTCAATGAACTGGTCATTGTTTTATGACCCATAGGATCCATGTATGCTATATATGGTAACATGGATCCCATCAATATACCCCAAATGTTAGCATATATACCAGCACCATGGATCCTATGGGTGATGGTTTATCATGATTCTCCAATTTTCCGCACATTGGTCCACCGTTTTTTCCGTACCATACCCCATTTCAGGACAAACCCTCGAACTGTGGCTATAGCTTGACGCTTGACCGCTTCAACCACGATGGGATCGTGATAATCCTGATCCTCACGTTTGAGAGAATCAGAGTCCTAAGGGATGATGACTAGATTTAAGTGGATGCATGTTTCAACATTTTTCCATAGATCTGAGTAAATTTCATCACGACCTCAGTGCGACCGAACCCTGGAATCATGGTTAGTAAGAGAAATCATCCCCAAGATAGCCGCAAGTTTCAGGTTAGTGAATTATTATAATTTACCCAGATATATGTCTTCAGTGTTCATCAGATGGGTTCGACACCTGCGCGTTGGTCTAGCATTTTCAGAGTTGGCTTGGCCAATGTTCACTTCCATTGATCCCCTCCCCTCTTAACGGTGTTTTACAGGCCTTCGTTTGTTTCTACTATTGCCATACTCCATTCTCACAGCAAACCACAGGCACAATATTACTGTACTGATTACTCACATGTGATGATTGTAATATTATATATATATGAACTGCACTTTACAATGTATTATGTCATATTAATGTCATATTATGTTATATAGAACTGTAATGAACTGTATGTATAACTTATACCCATGGCCCAATGCCCCATGTCCTCGGTGTTTCTGCGCACAGCTTCGCAATGCTCAACGGCTCAACGGCTCAACGCAGGTTCGCGTGGCCCCGCGAAGCGCTGCAGCCGGTGCCTGTGGAACGCTCACCCATCTGGGACCACCCAGAGGTGGGGTTCGGTGAGCCTGAAAGGGATCCCTATGGTTATGGGCCTTAGAATTCCTTAGAATTAAATAATTATATTATAATGAATATAAATTATATATAAGTTATATATAAAGTTATATCATGTTGTAACTGAATGGTACTATGATTTTTAGATATTTTTAGATATTTTAAGTATCTATAGACTTAATAGGAGTATGGTCATCATTCCCAACAGTAGTGACTGTTGGGTTTCAATCTCTGGCTTTGGGAGTGGTGCGCGTTTTTGTCAGAACCATGGCACCTTGGAACCCTTACTGCTGTTGGGTTGCAAAGCTAGGTTACTTTTAGTGTTTGATATGTTTGAGGGGTTGCCAACTATATTCTTGGGGATTGCTATGGACCCAACCGAAGAACAAGGATTGAAGGAACCCCGGAACCCCATATTGTGAGAGGTTTGGCTGGGCCGCGGGGACATCCATCATTGAAGCAGCTACACTGCTGCTTTTTGACATGTCTTGAACTGTTTTTCTGTGATGGTTTGTGATGGTTCGTTTGTTTTTTTTCATGTCATCCCATTTCTATAGTTACCACCCATAGGATCCATTCATGTATGGTATATATGCTAACATTTGGGGTATATTGATGGGATCCATGTTACCATATATAGCATACATGGATCCTATGGGCCATGAAGCCTTAGTAACAGACATGTGGTTTTGCTTGTTTGGAATGCATTCGTCGCCCTTACGTCAGCAGTGTGCCCTTGCCACCCGGGTTTGGATCCCGAAGCTCCAGTCCTGATGATCAGGGATCTGTACTGTAGATGGGTCAACTGTAGGCACCTCGAAAGGAACAGATTACCCCTTGATAGCCCTTGAAATATACTATATGGGTATGGATCAATACCTATGAAAATACCATTTTTAGGGGGATGAACATCCATATGGATCATTGTATTGTCCCAAGAATGTTACCCTCTGGTAAACTAACATAAAGCTATTAAAAATGGCCATAGAAATAGTGGATTTTCTCATGAAAAATGGTGGATCTTTCCATAGCAAACTGTTAGTTTACCAGAGGGTATACGTTTTTTTGACTTTCTCACTTTTTCGATGGAAACCATTTCCCTTTGATTGGCATGAAAATCCATGAAATTTCTATAAAGGTCTATGAAAATTCCCATGAAAATCCATGAACATCCTCCAAAAAACCAATGCTTCTGAAGGAATTGGAACCCTTGAAGCAGTACACCTTTCGGGAGGTGGGACCCGGGCTGGTAGACAGAGACAATTACAGTGGAGAACTACCCATTTGCTAATTGATAATCACTGATGTTTTAGTAGGATTCTTATTTTCTATATCTCATTTTTGGGGAAATGCTATAACATGCTATAACCAATATATGTAGATGTGCAAATCTTTCAAATATACCGGGTTTTGAATGGATTTGTGACTTTAGGGAATGATAGTTGATTGCTGCACGATGTTGCATCAGCGACGGCTTCGCGTCCACCATGGATCTTATGACCCACCATTGTCGTAGTCTAAGGCCAAAGGATCATCCCTTTAATGATGATCCAGCTCTTTAAAAGCGATGACTTGGAGCCATCCATGTTGCGATATGCCGGAGCTTCACAGGTGTTCACAGTTTATACCACAGTTTATACCAAGGATATCGCAACTCTTGGGGTATCGCTAGAATATCGCACTGCTATTAGATGCTATTAGTATTTCTAGTACTGCTAGTACTTCTAGTACTTCCAATACCTTAAAATCACTATCATTAGTATTACTAGCGCTGCTACTACTTCTAGTACACCCAGTATTTTAGTACTACTGATATGGGTAGTACTACTAGTTTTACTAGTACTACAAATACAATATCATATCTACTTTAGCTGCGTTTAGGCTTAGCGATACCCCCTGTAAATCAATATGGCACAATGATTCATGATGGTAAAATTGCTACGAAACTGTGGTTGGTGATGGGACCTTTCCAAATGATGTTGATGTCCTTTTCATGAACAAGGAGTTTTGACAGCCGCACATCTGTACCTGAGCTTTCATCCCTTCCAGGTATCGAGGTCTCCAGGCGAAACGGACAGGGTTGGGAAAAATGAGGCGTCAACCCACTAAATGTAGCCCTCATTTAATGGGATTTAATTGGATTTATCAGGATGTCATGGGATATCAGGGGATATACAACAATCAAGGATATTTGTTTGATTGTATTTGGGCATGTCTGACAACGCGGGATTTCCCCCAAAATGGCAATTTTAGTACGGAAACTACTGATGAATTGTGGGGGGGACTATTTCGTTGCCACCACCGAGCTGAGAACGAAAGTGCACGGCACTCCAGGTTCGCCCCCTTTTATCTGGGCTATCCATGCGATGGGAACCCCTTTTTAAGCGTCAGGTAAAGCCCTGGATGTTGCACAGTTGGACGCGTACCGAGAAGATGGCTTCCTGTCCCTCGGATGAACCATTGAAGGGGATGAAAGGGGGTGACACCTGTGCTGTGTGCTGGTTCATTCGATGGTTACCCTCTGGTAAACTAACATAGGCTATGGAAAATCACTATTTTTAATGGGAAAATCCACTATAAATGGCCATTTTCAATTCAGTAGCTATGTTAGTTTACCAGAGGGTATGACCCAAAGCGACCAAAAGTGTTCTTTCCTGGGGGTCTTCAACTCAAGAAGGAACACCAGCAGGACCAGTTTAAAACCGTGGGATAATACTAAATGAGCCATGTGTCAGATGTGTCAGAGCTCAAGACCGGGACCCGGCAAACAATGGTCCCAGCTTTTGTGGTTGCACCGTACTCGTACTGAGTGTCGAGCCGCAATTTGCTGAAAAAACAAGTCTTAGTAAAGTACCCCAGTCAATGTGTTGATTTCAGGCAGAAATTGCTGGAAACCAATTCTATCCGCTCCTTCAGGTCCCAAATCCCCAAGTCATGGATTGAAATCCACCAAATCGCCAAATTTTCGTGGGCAAAGTGATTGTTTCTACATGTTCAAGCAATTTTCCATGGTTTATGTATTAACAATGTATGCCATGTGTTATAGAATATTATATATAATCATATGTTTCATCCATATTTCACCAAGTTTCTGGCATTCTTCTTTCAATTTGAGCATATTTTACCCTCTGGTAAACTGTTACATAACTATGGAAAATCACCATTTTTCATTGGAAAACTCACTATAAATGGCCATTTTCAATAGCTATGTTGACATAACCAGAGGGTAGCCATGCCTTCCAGCCCCAGCCCCAGGCTGAATCTTCCGGTCCTCTTGGGTGAAGCCTTGGCCACGGCACGGGAAGACTTCAACCAGCTGCTGCTGGAGCGAACCGTCCGGGCGCACAAAAGCGGTGCTTCGTGCTTCATGAAATATGTAAGTGATCATTAGAATTCAATACACGCTAATATCATGATATATATATATACTTATATATGTATGTATGTATGTATATATATATGTATAATGACATTTTGCGATGTTTTATTTTGATGATGGTGATGTACCTACAGGTACGGTAATCAAACAAGGCTGGGAAATCCCGGAAGTCAATGGGCATTCATAGTAGCTGGGAAAATCATTGTCATAGATGGTGGGTTTTCATGGATTTTCCAGCAAGTACCAGAGGGTATCCATAGCGCAAAGGATTTAGAAAAAATTACAGGGAAGAAAAATTGTGTTAGGCCTTTTTATTAGCATGGTGATATTGATTGACAGCTGGGGACTTTAGGCAGATTTCGCTTGACCAGATACTAAAAGGGATGATACTCCAAGTGCAAATTCTTGGGGTTTAACCTGAAATGCCGCAGACAAAAAACAGACAAGATTGTTCATGATGTTTGTTGTTCAATAGATCCAGAGCAAACTATGGCTACACATCCTCATGTTTGGCAACAGAGTCTGTTGCTATTCAACATCTTGAGGCTAGTCGTTGTCCCGTGCTTTTGGCAGTGTGGGAAATCTGAACCTGAGTGGTACCTGGTAGAGAAAAACATCCCACTTGCCCACTTTGAAATTCAGTTTAGGAGCGCGCAGCTGCGGGAGGCTTAGAGTGGAGCTTCAGGATTGTTGAACCCCTGGTTGACTGATGATTGACTGTGGGTAGCTGTGGGTAGCTAGTATATGGGGGTACAAGTCCTAATTTGATAGCCAAGTTGTGGAAGTTGGAAGAGAATATGAGGCAGGAAGTCTGGAAGTCTAGAGCAGGTGCTGTAGTGAAGCAAGGCTAACGAGTCAAGAATTAGGACCCAGACATCAACCGATTTGGTTTTGCTCCTGGCTCTCATGAAGAAACTTGCTGCCGTTTCGGAATCTCAAGAACCCGCAGCTATATTTGCCCGAAGATTCTGCTTGAAATGTATCAGCGTGTCCTCCTGTGTGAATCGTGACCTGATGCCAAAGCTCTACAGGCGTTGTGGTCACAGGGGCATAGTGTTCCCTTATTTCTTCGAAGAACGCCAAACCTCACATGGGTGGTTTGCAAGGTACCAGACCTGGTTGTATATATCAGAGACCGAGCATGGAGTGATGGAAGTGTATCACGCAGGCATCAACGACGATGTTGATTTGCAATGGGCGATGGATCATATATTGTCCACTTTGGATTCTATGTCGACACCATACTTGAACCAAGAGACAGATCAAAACAAAGAGAACAAGTTGATGGTGGCGAAGTGGTTGTGCGACTTGCACGAGAAGGTCAACCAGGACTTTGTGGCTGGTCGTACCATTGCTGCCAAAAATTTGCTCAGCAAACGTTGGCTTGTAACGCGTGGCATGGGAACGGAGCTGTTCACACTCAAGAAGGATGTGGGCGTTGGCAGGTGCTGTTGGGAGACCCTGACTATGCCATTCATAGTGCCTCGATTCATCTTATGTTCGCTCTTGAACTGTGAGAAAGCCAAGGCCGAGGCAGAATTGTCCATCAAGTACACTGCAGTAGCTCATGTTTTTGAGGCTGAACAGCGGATCCACTTCGAGTCGCACTATTCCGTCCGCGACGGTGCATCAGTGGTTGCATCCTGTGCTCAAATGGGCAAAGGTGTAGCTGGAATTGTGAGGGTTGCAGCTGCTTTAGGAGCGTTCCCCTCCATGTGATGGTCCTGCTCTAGGAAATGCCTAATTAGTGCATACTGGTGAGCTGGTGTCTTCAGCTGCGCAATGTGGTACATTATGCAGTTGCAAGACTTGGCCATTTTAACCCTGGGCAAGAGAAAACTTTAGACAAGGTGCCACACTTCTGCAGTCTCTGTAACTTCGGCAGACCAATCCTCTTTCTTGCCCTCTAAGTTGAACAAGAGTCTGTTGCCCATTTCAGAAACAACATGTAATGTATGGAATTATGTAATCATATTCTGCCTAAGTTCCAACATGACTCCCAATTACGGTGTTGCAAATGACCCGTCAAGACTATTGGTATAGCCGGTATAGCCCAGTGCCTTGACCACGGCTGAGGATGAAGATGCCAAATTTCGTGCAGCCCATACCTTGGCTCGGCCACTGCACCAGGTACCTGATTCGGGAGATAAATCCCCTCCATTTGAAGGGGATTTGCCATCAGGCCATGTTTGAAGAACTAGAGGGTACCTCAAAACATGATAAAAACATGCCTATTTCTTGATGGCGAAAGTTATATTAGTATTTGTATATATATATATAATATATAATTATAGTTAGTAAGGGGAATCATCCCAAATGGCCCAACAATTCAGGGTAGTGAAATAGTTCTGTTATTTTCCTTGATTTTCCAGACCATGAGATGGAGTCCAGGTTCAAATCCTGGGAGACAGCCCCCTGTGATGAAGTCATCCAATGATTTGGGGAAGTGGCTTGAACAAGGCTCTGAGATCGGGAAAAAATGATGATTTTCATAGAATTGGATGATGGGAATATTTACAGGAAACCCCTATAATTGATGGTAAAAACCCATGGGTTTCCGGTTAAGATTTTCCCTTAAGCCAATCCATTGAGATTTGAAATGATGCCAAAACAAGTGGATCGTGGGCTGACTTTAACATAGTTTAACCACTACTAGTACAGGCATTTCGACCATGACACATACTTGCACAAGCAACCTCACCCTGTTTTTGTATCTCAGAAGTGAAGGAAGTACAGTGTGATTTCACCTGTTCAGTTTATATAAGGTGTTCCAACAGTGTTGACCCAAACCTATCTCTGCTCCTTTCATGTCAGAGAAGCCGCACGGTAAGAAGGTTGAGATTTGTGTACATGAATTTACATGAATTAGCGCACAACTGTTCCAGAGCCCAACAGAACGAATAACTTTGCCCATTTCGAATGACGCATATTCAACAGGTGAATGGAAGGACCGAATGGTATCACGAGTTGGATCTGCTTGAAGTTGGCAAAATATTAATATAAAGGTAATGCCCTTAAACACGGATATATGGTTTTTCACAATGTGGTACTTGGCCACAAAACACAAAAATTGTCAACCAGTGAAACTATCCTAAACCATGCCAAAGCATCAACTCTTGGGGATTTCCCCACAGGTTTCCCATAGCTTTCCCCCAAACGTCGACCGGGACTTTGCGACAGGACCTGGTGCAGCGCTTGGCGAGGCATGAAAGGGTGCTGCACATCGTTGAGGCCTGGCGATGCCTGCTGAGAAGATGTGATAAATGGGCTATACCCCCATATCCATCTGGGTGAATTATAACGACCTCACTGCGACCTCACTGGAATCATGGTCAATAAGGGAAATCATCCCCAAATGGCCTTAATTCAGGTCAGTGAATTATTATAATTTACCCAGATCCATTAAATCTTATCTGTTTTCAATAGTATGATTACCAGATGGTATTGAAAATGGTTAGATGTGATAAATGTAAACTAACAGTGTGCTATTGACAATAGCAATATAAATGATGTTGATTTACCCAGCCATAAAATGATGATGACCGACCGAGGGTAAATGGAGGTTTCCTAAGTCATGGGCGATCCCCAAGTCATGACTTCCCATGATATGGGGCTATTCCGATTTAGGAAACCTCCATACCCTTGTTGATTGGTTAATACAGTATAGGGAGTTATTCCCAATGTATCCCAATAATGATTGTGACAATCCCAAGAATGATAACAATATACAAAAATCAACCGTTGGATTACCATATACTGCTTGATACATATCTATACATTGCTATACTATATAACTGGATATAACTGGTTTATTGGGATTACAAAAACATTATATTAATCCGCCATCGGAAAACAAGCACCATGATTTTCTGCACCAATCGATGTATTCTTTGGGATGGTGAACAATAGCTATAAATTGGTTAATATGGCAACATGTTGTGGCGATATTAATTATGATATGTTAAAAGGTGATATAAGTTATATTGATACAGAAAATGGTGATTAATCTTGGTATTATTGGTGATATTTCAGTGATAAAAAAGTCAGAGTTTCCCATGCAATTAGATGGCCCATTTAGTTCGATGATTTGAAACCACCTATTTAAAAGTGGTGAGTTTCCATACCAAAATGTTCAATTTCCCAGAGGGTATCCTTATGGTTAAGGATACAACATGATACAACTATAGTTACTTATAAAACTATCGTACCATAGGATTGGTACCATAAAAAAATTGGATCAATTCACCATTTTGGATGTGTTTTTTTAATGGAATTCTGGATGTTTTTTTTTGGGTGAACGATGATATTCCCCACGAAATGACCGTGGCTGGTCAAGATGACTCGACAAAATCGGGTTCAGACACGACTGGTAGCGTAGCAGATTTGTTTTCTAAGAGGAAATATATGGCAATCTACTGTATCTGGGTATGAAAAGGGATAGGTAATCAGGAAATACCAGGAATATTCGGAATATGTAAGACGGAATATGTCTATGGATTTTAGTCACGGAATATGTAACGTGGTAGCCTGCTGTTCACATCAACCTAGATTGTAAATTGTTGTGTATCTTCGAAGATATGGTGTGTGTGTATATATTATATATATATATGTCCACGCATCTTAAGCTATGAGGAGTTCAGCAGTGACCATGGCTCAGATTTCTTAAAGCATCCCAAAATATAAAAAAATGCCCCAGTCTGGGATGAACAGATCCAGTACAAAGCATCCCAGGTAGCCCAGGTTTCTAAGGGAGCTATTCGAGGGAAGGGATTTTTATGCACATTTTGCCTAAAATGCTCACATTTTGAAAGCAGCTATTTCAGAATAGCCGGAAAGAAAAGAAATTTCAGATGGTTCAGCTATGTTCAGCTCCTCCCAGACGTGCTTCGCAGGATATCCTCGGGTGCGGGGGCTTGGGGTTTGGTGATCCAGGTGGAAACAGCGCGGAATGGTTCGTCTTTTGGACAGTTTTAGGGATTCCAAATTTCCAAGTAACACAAGCTATGCCGAAGTCTTATGGACCATCTAAAGCACCACCTGCGAAACCTCCATCGCCGAAAGCTGCTCCGAAACGCGCGGCAGGTTGGGAGAAATCTCAAACTACACCCCAATGGAAGAAAGTCCGCCGTGAGGAGTAAGCCAACCACCTCTGTCCATCCAAGCGATCACTGGACTATAAGATGTGTATCGTCTTTGTGAACAGATGATCAGGAAAAGACCAATTGAGAGGACTCTGAGCGAGGCAGTAGATTAATTCGCTTAGGCCCCAGATTCTCAATATTCCCAATCTGCACGATTCTCTTTTTAGCAATGTGCACGTGAATTCACTAGTTAGCGCCAATTGCTATTCTTGGTAGAGCAGTCATCTTCCGTCGTCGATGGAGTGACTTGCGAAGCCGTAATCGTAGAGTAGCTGCAAGCTAGTGATAATTCGCGTTGTACAGCTCGAACTTGCGCTGATGCATTGCATGCCATAGAGTAGGCAATCCTGGATCCACTACGCTCGTCGGGCGTGGGTGAAGGGAGAGCCGAATGGAAAATGCGTGTACAAAAGCGTAATTCGTGCACAACAAACAACTTAATTCAAAGTTCCCGCTCTCGTGCCCACGGTGCGAAGACACCGCAGGCATGGGGGGTGTCAAAGGGAACACAATGAGACGACATGTGTAACACACACATGATGAACGCTCGGGACGCCATTATGGCTCAAGACCCATTGCGTGACCAAAAGAACGCGCTCCGCTGTTGCATGGATTGACTGCTCCGACTATCAGCTCACAGGGAACTCCAACTGAAAGGTATCCGAGAACAAGGATCAAATTGTTCACATATAGATATATATACATTTACATATATAATTATATACACACATACTGTACATATATACACACATCCGTTCCATCTTTATATAGGTCTATAGTCACATCCCGGTATCTCCCACCTCATCATTTCTGTCAAGATGGATAATGCTTCGTATTATATACATTGATATTATATATATATATATTAGTATATTATATTATACTATATTATATTATACTATATTTATATTATACTATATTATATTATATTATATTCTATTATATTATATTATATTATATTTATATTATATTATATTTTTATTTTATTTTATTTTATTATATTATAATTTATTTTAATATATTATATTATATTATATTATAATTTATTTTACTATATTATATTATATGATTTTCTATTCTATTCTATTCTATTACATTATATTATATTATAGTCTATTATATTATATTATATTATCTTTTATTCTATTATATTTTATTATATTATATCATATTCTATTCTAGTGTATTATAATATATTATATTATATTCTGTTATATTATATTATATTCTATTATATTAAATTATTTTATATTCTATTATATTATATTATATTCTATTATATTATAATATATTATCTTTTATTCTATTATATTTTATTATACTATATTATATTATATTATATTCTATTATATAATACAATATAGTATTATATTATATTCTATAATATAATATAATATTAAATCCTACTGTATAATATTATATTATATTGTATTATTTTATATTATATTTTATTCTAGTGTATTATAATATATTATATTCTTTTATATTATTTTATATTCAATATTCTATAATATTAAATTATCAGAAAGGGGTGTTGTGAGCGCTAAAAAAACGAAATTTTGGGGATATATAGCCTTGATACTATGGATGGTTTCATGGTTTTTTTGCGCTCACAACAGCCTGTGTAAGTAGGACGAATCATTTGATATACTAAGCAACCCATGTCTGCTGTCTGCTGTCTAACCCGAACTACAAAATCCTCCAACCTGAACTGCATAATCGTCTAATTCGAACTGCAAAATTGTCGACTTCGCAGTGCTTAGTCCTGCGAAGATTCGCGGATTGACTCGCGACTTCTTCCTTTCGACTGGAGCGACCTGAGCGAACCAAAAAAACCAAAAAAACCAAAAAAAAAAAAACAAAAAAAAACAAAAAACAAAAAAAACAAAAAAACCAATGTTTCCACAACTACTCTGATGTCTGGACTAGTTGCCAAATCTTTGTTCCCCACCTGCCAGGTGAGGGTTGTTAGATTTTATGTCAGTTGCCTCCTCGTCCTCCTCCTCGTCCTCCTTCTCCTCCTCCTTCTCTCCTCCTCCTCCTCCGCCTCCTCCTGCCTCGTCCTCCTCTCCTCCTCCTCCTCGTCCTCCTCGTCGTCCTCGTCGTCCTCGTCGTCCTTGCTCAACTGCGACCCGCGATCCACAGTGTTCTCTGCCGGACCTCAACCACGACCATCCACGCCCAGTGTTCCCTGCCGGACCTCAACCACGACCATCCACGCCCAGTGTTCCCTGCCGGACCTCAACCACGACCATCCGCGCCCAGTGTTCCCTGCCGGACCTCAACCGCGACCATCCGCGCCCAGTGTTCCCTGCCGGACCTCAACCACGACCATCCGCGCCCAGTGTTCCCTGCCGGACCTCAACCGCGAGTATCCATGCCAAGTGTTCCCTGCCGGACCTCATGTAGGAATGTCAGATAGACTGCCAGATAGAATGCCAGATAGAATGTCAGATAGGATGCCAGATAAGAGATGCCAGATAGAATGCCAGATAGAATGTCAGATAGGATGCCAGATAGAATGCCAGATAGAATGCCAGAAAGAATGCCAGAAAGAATGCCAGATAGACTGCCAGATAGAATGTCAGATAGAATGTCAGATAGGATGCCAGATAGAATGCCAACATATATGCCAGAAAATATGTCAGATAGAATGCCAAAATATATGTCAGATAATGCCAGATAGAATGCCAGAATATATGCCAGAATATATGTCAGATAGAATGCCAGAATATATGTCAGATATAATGCCAGATAGAATGCCAACATATATGCCAGAATATATGTCAGATAGAATGCCAAAATATATGTCAGATATAATGCCAGATAGAATGCCAGAATATATGCCAGAATATATGTCAGATAGAATGCCAGAATATATGTCAGAATAAATGACAGGTAGAATGCCAGAATATATGTCAGATGAAATGTCAGAAAATATGTCAGATAGAATGCCAGATAGACTGCCAGATAGAATGCCAGGTGGAATGTCAGGATATATGCCAGATAGAATGCCAGAATATATGCCAGAATATATGTCAGATAGGATGTCAGAATATACTAAATATATGTCCAAATATACGTCCTGACATGTCATGGTGGGGATCACACGAAGTAGAGTAATTTTTTTTGGTTTTTTCGAAGTTTTGCATCCCAGGATTAATCCAGATTAATCCACATCAATTCTGCTTCATCCCTTCTCTAACGCATCATCTGTCAAATAAGCAGTCATCTTTGGGTCACAGCTGTCATCTCTACCCTGGCCTTTCTTTGCTTCGTCGTCATCATGGCTGACCTCTTCAACCAGGCGTGTGTAGCTGCAGGGTGCCTTCAATGCACGAACTTGGAGCATCCTGTGGGTCGCGTGCTGGAACCGACTTATGAGCTGACAGCCTTGCCATTGAAGCCCATCGAAGGCAACACCAAGCTGAAGACTGCAATTGAAAAGGTGCTCTATGAACCCACGGAGGGTGATGAGTTGGATACCATTGCAGATCTGGTCAGCAGCAAGTCATACCAGAATCTTCCACAGCCTTTGGCCCTCAAGGATGCCCTGCCCATACCCTTCACTTTCCAGCCGGTCTTCCGCAAGCAGAATGACACCACATACGAAGTCCTGAAGCATTACATCTTCTCCCAGAAGATTGATGTGCGCGGGCTGCAGCGGGTTGCTACTGGAGATCTCTTCACCATAGACTATGGCAAAAATTTCCGGTCAGGCTCTCAAGGTTTCCAGTACCTGCTCGAAAAGGTTGCCGACTATGCCATCCTTGCTTTCCAATTCACAGCAAAGCCCAAAAGCAAATGCAAGGAGAAGTCTGCCTTGGAGCAAGGCTTTTCCTACATCCAGAGTGAGGGCCCCAAGAGCAACATGAACAACCAGTGGACTGAGTGGGCAGAAATACCTGTCTTCGGAAGTTTCCGATCTTGTCTTCGGAAGTGTACGTGGCTCCAGGTATCCTGAACTTTGGCCCTGTAAGTAGCACCCCCTGAGCCATGGATGTGCGTGGACGAGCCATTCTGATGCCAGGCAAAAAGATGGTCTTGGAGTTGGAACCTCAAGCCAACGCAGGGCAACAACCTGATACCCCTCCAGAACCTGAAGTTGTTATCCGGCAGATTGCAGATGGCACCTTCCATCACCGCCCGTCGGATCCAGATGCAAATCTGCAACATCCAGCGTGGCTTTCAACTCGTGGTTGGTGCCAATGGTGGGTGGACTGGTGAAGCTCAAGCCAAGTTGCTGCAGTGGCTTCTGAAATCCGAACAGAAGCGTGCCCGTACTGCATCTGCATCTCGATCCCCATGCCCAGCATTGGAAGATCATAGGCTGGCTTTGGAAGACAAGAAGCCTGATGAGCAACCTCAAGACCAGAGGCTGACTTTGGAAGACAAGAAGCCTGATGAGCAACTTGCTGCCTCCAGCTCTCCACAGGCTCCAGTGCCTATGGCTTTGACCGTTGAGAATGATGTGGAAGACAAGAAGCCTGATGAGCAATCTCCCGCTTCTCCACACGCTCCGACACCTCATACCCTGATCCCCGAGGACGTGGCTTTGGCCTCTGATGATGGGGTCGAAGGGCAGGCTTTGATGACCCAGCCAGATCGCACAACTCATGACAGTGAGAAGTCTGTGAACTCATCCTCTTCTTCATCGGCATCGTCATCATCTGGAACCTCGTCACCTGCTCGGAAGCTGTACCATAGCCGTGCCAACATTCGTAAGGCACAAGCGGCTATTCAGGACATTTTGCCAATTGTGTCTGGCGCCTGCGTAGACTGCGAAATTCATTGAAATATGTGCAAGAATTGTTGGACAATGCCATGTGATTCATATGTCTGAAATGTCTTCATGAAAAGGTTAACTTCATGTGTTGACATATATTATAGATATATAACATGGAATTGAGTTTTCCGACCTGATTAAGTCTCTTGGCTGATGTCCTTGCGCATATTTAAATCATCTATGTCTCATGCCCTGCAGGCAGCAAGCATGATGTGCTGTATAAAAAGGGCAGCTTGCATGACAAAATTTGGCGCTCACAACACCCCCCTCCCTAAATTATTTTATATTCTATTCTATTCTATTATGTTATTATATTCTATTATATAATACAATATAGTATTATATTATATTCTATTATATAATATAATATAATATTATATTAAATCCTATTGTAAAATATTATATTGTATTATATTATATTATATTATATTCTATTGTATTATATGATATTATATTCTTTTATATTATATTATATTCTATTATATTATATTGTGTTGTATTATATTGTATTATATTATATTGTACTATATTTTATTGTATTACTATATGATATTCTAATTATATTATATTTTATTCTAATTATATTATATTATGTTATATTGTATTATATTATATTCTATTATATTATATTATATTGTATTATATTATATCATATTGTATTATATTATATTATATTATATTATATTCTATTGTATTATATTATATTATATTTTATTATATTATATTATTTTCTATTGTATTATATTATATTATATTTTATTATATTATATTATTTTCTATTGTATTATATTATATTTTATTATATTATATTATTTTCTATTGTATTATATTATATTATATTATATTCTATTATATTATATTGTATTATATTATATTATATTCTATTATATCATATTATATTATATTGTATTATATTATATTCTATTCTATTATATTATATTATATTGTATTGTATATCTCACATTAAAATCATTATATCACCATTTTTTACACGAAACATAGTTTTTCTTCCCGTTCCATCAACGGAAATTCAAACCCCAGGACCCCAGCAGCGCTCTAGCGGCATTGGACGATGCCATTAGGTCGGACCTGGAGGTAGCTATGGAAAAATACCTGTTTAATGGGCAAATATAGGTACATCATGGTACATCATCCATAAATAGACCATGGCTTTCCAATAGCAAACTGCTAGATTACCGGAGGAGATATGTATATATGTGTATTAGATCGATCTAAATTCATAATATATGGAGAAAATCATTAAAAACACATGAATTTGATACACACACACATGTTTTATGTGAAAAAAATATCTAGGGTATATTAAGTTTTATTTTTTGAGATATGGAACTAGCATATGCACAGTTCTACAGGTATGTCGTGTTGTGATGTGTTGCGCGGAAAAAATAAATCTGATGGTATAGTGGCCCATCTCGTTCCATGCCTCCATCTTAGATACCGGGCCGGTGCCCCGAATTACGAAAAACTGGAGACAGGCTTGGAGTCCGTGGCGTGGTTTTGCACGGAGAGGTGGGTCTATCTACCGGGTGTGTGTGTGGGTTGAATCGGGTTGATTCGTATCCCTGCAACACTGACATTGAGCCCTCAAAAGAAAAATGAGGAATCACATCATCATCATCATCAGAAAGATGGTTTCCTGTGAGTCATTTTTGGGTGCCACAAATTTCAGTGTAAAGCCTGGCTGTCTCAGCTGGTGCCGGGACTCCGCTCTGACGAAGGACGCCAAGGACGCCGCGGAGGCCTTGGCGGAGTGCCGCTCTGCAGGCTTGGTCCTGAGTGAAGATACATAGCCTCTGGTAAACTGTTACATAACTATGGAAAATCACCATTTTGAATAGGTAAATCCACTATTTCTATGGCCATTTTCAATAGCTATGTAACAAATTACCAGGGTAGCCACTATTTTTGGAATATGTTGGGATATGTTGGGATATGAAGATCCAAACATATCCGAAACTCTACCTCCAAAATATCCAAAATCATGAACACCTATGAACACATTCTGGTTTCAGCAACTTCTAGGCGAAGATCCCGCCATCCCAAAAACATCCGACTTTCGCCAGGCCTGGTGGCCTTCACAGTGGATCTGCTGCAAGCGGTTCAGCCAGGCATTTTTTTTGGGAAGCGGTTTTTTGTTGCCCTGGAATTGAAAGGTTTCTGACAACTGTTTTTCTTAGGCCCAGAATTGCAGTGTTCTTGACTCTTTTTGAACGTGTTTCTCTTTTTTGTGGTTACTTTTCCTTCATGGCTGGAATGGGCTCGAATCTCAACATGGTTATGTCAGTCGCCCTTGATGAGATGATGCTGGGAATTGTTACATGATGTCCCATTGTTCCATGATGACAACTGGACAACTGTAATGGGGATGTAACATCATGTAACCAATGGGACATGCCAGTAGGTTACATCATGTTACATCATGTTACATCGCCATGTTTGTTGGCGATACCTCAAAGGTGTATTCCAAGCTGACCTTTGCAGCCAGGCACCGGCTTTCCTGTGGCACCGCTGGACTGAGCCGCTGGAAAAAAAGGCTGCCAGGGCCACGAGAACCGGCCTAGCTGAATTATTGCTTTGGTTTTTTGAACCTTTTTATGATTTTGACCGATGCTCAAAGGGGGGTAGCTGCTTCATGAGTGACTCTTCGGATTTTTGATCTGACTCTTTGGACTCACGCTTACTGTGACAAACACGTGCACATTGTAGAGCTCTACAGTCTAAGACGTCTAAGTCTTCAGTATCTTCAGTGATCATCTGATAAATCTCAACCTGGACCATGTGCGCACTATATATTCCAACCCATGAGACATGAGCTCCACATTTGCTCTTCCGCAAGCTCTAAATCTTCACAAGAGATCTTCCCAAGCAACAGACCTCTCTTCTCAGCGAAATGTCGAAAGAGACGTTCAAAAGTCGAACCTTGGCCTGGCAGATGATGATTTCTTCTTTGGGACTTTGGGCTGATAGAACTCCAGATGTGTACAAAAAGCAGTTTTCATAGTTTTCGCAGGTTCACTCTGTCAAAGAGTACCCCGCCATGAACCATTTCTTCCAGCGTGGACCATGAAATGGGGTCAGGTCAACAGCTGGGTCCCCTGATGCTCCCAGCACGGCCAACTATGGATCTATACCGTCTATACCTGCAAACTCAACGGGAAAACGAGCACCATTCTCACAACATAACCGTTTGATCTGCAGTGATATTCATTCTGGACCCTTCAATACTTCAAAGCCGTTTTGTTTTCAAGCCAGGGAATTTAGAAGGCATTCCGACACTTTGCATCAACGTCTTTTTGAGGGAAGGGATACATGAGGTCAAACCTGTGGAGGTTGGGTTTCCATGGGTTTCCAACTCACGCATTTCAAAGCCAAAAGATCATCTCGCAAGTACTTGTTGCAATTTAGCACAATTTGTAACACAAGAGGGCTTGAGATTTCGAGAGGCAAAAGACACCCATTGGCCGGGAAAATACGCCCGTTGGACGCGAAAATATGCCAATGTTTGTTTCTAAAGGGGCTCATTGAAGCCATGTTTCCCACTCAAACATCCATTTGCTTGAGCAAAATGTGAAATCACTGGCTAAGTTTTGCCCCTGAATGCACCCGATTCAAAGCGATGCAATTCACAGGTGCTAAGCGGGTGGTGATGCGGTCGACTGTATGAAGGCATAGATGCGCGCTGCAACACTGCCCATGTAAGCAAAATTAAGCAAAGACGTTTTTCAAAGGCATTTTCGTTCTAAATGGGCACTTATTAGTGTCATTTCGAGGATACAGGTATATCGAGTACAGCTTGGGATGTTGAGCAAGCTATATCTACAGACTGGATTGGGATGTTCAATGATCTTCATATCATCCCATTAATCTCCATCAAATCACCATTAAATCACCATTAAATCACCATTTATAGTGGTTAAATCACCATTAAATCTCCATTAATCATCCCAAAAATCTCCAGACCACCCTTCGATTCGGGGATGATACACTGGCCACTGAGGAAGCCCTTGGTGGCAGGTCGTAGATGTCCTGCGGATCTACTGGGCGTTGTTGCTTGGGAACATCCTCGAATGGCCCCTTGGGACACAAGGGGAGACGGGCGTCAAAAAAAATAACTTTCAGGCTCTGGGGAAGCAAACGAAAATGTGTAGTCAATTTTCTGAAAAAACATGTATATATATATATATATAATTGTATGATATATATGTATAAAGTATTATATATAGTATATATGCACATATATATATATATATATTTAATATTTAATTACTGTATATCATACTGCATATCATGCTGTATATCATATAGTACTTGTATATCTTGATCATTGGTCATCAGGTCATCCATATCAATTGTGACAGACACTCGTGATGGCATCTTTGGGAGCCGAGACTGAGGTACGAGTATGCGATCTTCAGCTTTCTTGAGCCCTACTTTCAGAGCATCTTGATTGCTTGAGAACGTTATTTTAGTAGGCAGAAACGCATGGTTTAAGATGTGTTCTCTTGGAGACACACATCTTTTGCCAATGTGCGATTTGAATTGTGAACATATACAAGAGGACAGCAGAGAGACTCTGCAGCGAAACGCTAGCAAAGCGAGTTACAGGAAATTCCATTTCTTTGTAACTGGAAGATTTCTGTAACTTATAGATTCCATTTCTGTAACTTATAGATTTCTGTTATGCACTAGATCCAGTAGCGAGTTACTCTTTGCAAGCAGGTTTCAAAGTGCAGTTCAATTTCTCATTTCTCCACTGGATCTAGTCATCCAAAGGTCATTGAACAGCTACCAATGGGTTTTCAAAGCCCACCTTCAGCAATCCCACCTTGAGAATGTCCTTTCAAAAGCCAACAAAATCAAAGTCAAAGGGAATTGCACAAACCATTCAAGAATAAATCCCATCAGTATCCATCAGTAATATCCATCAAACATTGGCAATCCATAAAATGGCAAGGATCCATTGAATATCCCTTAAGATCCTTAAGTATTCCATAAATATCCAACGCACTCTCCGATGATCCATCAAAAAATTAGCCATTGAATATCCATAAAGCCTATCCGATCTGTAATTTCCCACCAAATATCCACCAGAATATCCATGGATTTTTCCCATGGAAACATCCATATTTCGCATACCCTCTGGTTATGTCAAAATAGCTATGGAAAATCACCATTTTATAGCTGGGTAAATCCACTATTTCTATGGCCATTTTCAATAGCTATGTTAGTTTACCAGAGGGTATGTTAGTTTTCAATAGATGGTTTACCTGTGTTTATACCTAGAAAAATAGCATGGTGAAAAATTCCATGGCTATGTTAGTCATAACCGTCATAACCAGATGGTACCCTCTGGTAATTTAACATAGCTATTGAAAATGACCCATAGAAATAGTTGATTTACCTATTAAAGATGGTGATTTTCCATAGTTATGTTAGTTTACCAGAGGGTATGTTAGTTTTCAATAGATGGTTTACCTGTGTGTAAAAAAAAACAATAGCATGGTGAAAAAATCCATGGCTATGTTAGTCATAACCGTCATAACCGGTAAATAAACCATGGATTTTTCCCAGCTGAGGCCATTTCTTCCACGGCTCCGCCGTGTCCACCTGGTTGGGCTTCTCGGTGACCTTCGTGGCACGACCCTTCGGGGGCCTGGTGCTTGGGGTGGTGGGCGACATCTTCGGGCGCAAGGCCGAGCCGAGCCACGGAGCCGCGGAGCCGGTGTAGATTCCATGGGATTTCAGGGGATGGGTCAATACCTACAAGGTGGTGCCCCCAAACGTTATAAATTGGTTTATAAAGCCCATTATATAACTATAGATATATCACCAACAAAAACCATAGTGAAATTGGAGTTATGTTCACCAACTTAGCTATCGAACGGGGGCACCACCTTGTATAGATACATTTTTAGTGGGATGAACATCCATTTACCAGCTATTTGGATGTTCACCAGGGGTACAAGGTTTTGACCCATAGCCATTTGATGATTTTGATGGGATTTCGTGGGATTTGATGGCATTTGAAATGGAATTTTGTTAGATTTCGTGGGATGATTCATGGGATTGAATGGGATGTTGCTGGATTGAATGGGATTTGATGGAAGAAACATATGTTCTGTGGTAAGTAATGAGTGGAATGAATGGAAAAAATGATGACATTCTGCTGACCAGCAAGTCTGTAGAAGAAGGTGGAAGTAGTTTTTGTGTTTTTTTTCAAAGATAGATTCAAAAGCCAATTTGTGTCAAAGCTGCAGAAAAGTGAGTTCATCAACATTATTTGCTGAAGCATTCCGCAAAGCATTTTTGGCTCCAAGCACCTTGCATACCACATTTTTGATCATTTTTGTTCTATCGTTTTTTTAGATCCTTGACATGTCGGCTTTTGTCGCGCTTCCAGTTGCACCTGCTGTTCCTTCACAGGTCACAGGTGTCACTAGTGCCACTGTTGCCGCTCCCCACTCCGCCCCTGCGCCCTCCCGCGGCTCCGCGCCCGGCCTGGCGGCCGCCGCCGTGGCAGTGGCCGCTGCTGGCGCAGTGGGTGCGCGCCGTTCCTCGCGCCGCGGTGGCTTCGCAGGACGCGCCCGAGCAGTGCCGCTGCAGCGCAACACCAGGACGCTGAGCGATGCCAAGGTGGTGGTCTGCGCCGGGCTCACCTTCCCCGAGGGCCGAAAGTTGCGGGTGGCCGTGGTGGGCGGTGGCCCTGCTGGAGCCAGTGCGGCAGATGCCCTGACGCAGCAGGGAGTGGAGACCTTCCTGATTGAGAGGAAGTTGGACAACTGCAAGCCGTGCGGCGGCGCAATTCCTCTGTGCATGATTGATGAGTTTGACCTGCCAAAGGACATTGTTGACCGCCAAGTGCGCAAGATGACCATGATCTCTCCCACCAACAAGGAGGTTCAAATTGGCCAGACCTTGAAAGATGATGAGTACATTGGCATGGTGCGACGTGAAGTGCTAGATGACTTCCTGCGCCAGCGTGCCAAGAAGAATGGGGCCACCTTGATCAACGGGCTCTTCATGGGCATGACCCTGCCTCAAAATAAGGACGAGTCCTATGTCTTGACCTACAATGACTACGAGGGTGACTGGTTGATGGATTTGATGATTTCAACCCCTTTGATTCTTGACCCATAGGAAAAAGGTGTAAGGAAACATCCAAAAACATCCAAAAACCATCAAAAACCACCATCACCAGCTAGACCACCCCATGGTCATAGAAACCACTGGCCAGGTGAGGACGGCAACGCCCGCAAGGGTGAGAAGAAGACCCTGGAGGTGGACGTGGTCATTGGGGCGGATGGAGCCAACAGCCGAGTGGCCAAGGATGGGCTGCGGTGGCGTGGGATGGTGGGAATCCCGGGGAAATTTTTGATGAAAAACTGCGATGGAACCATGGAAATTGGAGATTTTTGGAGCAGGAAACATCAGGAAACATCATATTTACTGACCCCCGTCTGGTGCCAGGGGGGGGTGAGGCACCTAAAAAAAAAACATAAAATGCAGGGGCCTAAGGACAAACTGCCAATAAAATGAGAGGGCATAAGGTAAGATAGGAAAATCCAAGCAAAACCCAATGGACAGGTACAAAAATAAAATGACGTCAGGCACCCTCCACCTGGCAACAGGCCCCGGCATTTTCTTTTGGGTTGATTTTGTTTAGTCTTGTTTCTTTATTTGATTGGTTTTAACCATCTTTGAAGGAAAACCCCCAAAATGGTAAGACCCAACCTCCAACATATCCCAGCATCTGCGAAGCAAATGTAATCTTTTGTCGCGTGCCAACAGGTGACCATCGAATCGCTCCCTGATCTGTACAGAATAGATTGTTTCCCCAACTGCCAGGACTAACGAATATTGTTGATCCTACCATCTCTGTCAGTTAACTTGATGGGTTAGGCACCTCAAAAAAGTAAAATGCACCCACAAAATAAAATGCAGGGGTCTGACGCATGTTATTTTATTATTTTTTATTTTAAAAGGTGCTTCTGCCGCTTCTGCCCCCTCATCTTATTTAGGCACACCAATCGGAGGTATTTACTGTATATCATCTTCCAACGCCTTTGTTTGTGGCTCCCAGTGGGCAAATGGTGAATGGATGTAAAGTGGTTGGTTGATGCTTAGGGCCACAGTTGGGGTTCAGTGCAGGGATTGCTGGAGCGGTAGGTGTTCTTCTCTGGATCATGTAATGCCATGGTAAAGACTCCCCGAAATAGGTGGGATTCTTTATTCCATTGAAAGGAACCATTTGAAAAAGACAGGAAGCATCATGAACAATCCACGAAGCGTACTGAGCTCTTGCAGGACATTGAGGCTGGAGACTACGAGTATGCCATTGCCTTCCAGGAGCGCATGCGAATTCCGGAGCAAAAGATGGATTACTACAAGGACCATCACTCTGTCAACCCTCGTGTTTTCTTTCGATGCATGATGGGCGTGGGTCAAAAGTACCTGAATGAACAAAGTACTTGTATGTTGGGGTGCTGATGTCCAAATTTCCCATTGACAGGACTGCCCCTTTCCACTTTCTGATCTTTCTTTGGTAGTTCTGACCCCAGGTCTTTCCTTTGAAAGGAGTTGACACCATCCGACACCTCAAAAATCACAAAGGGATCCACCACTGCCCCTGAGGACCGTGCCGAGATGTACGTGGGCGAGGACGTGTCTCCGGACTTTTACGCCTGGGTCTTCCCCAAGTCCGACCATGTGGCCGTGGGCACTGGCACGGTGGTGGACAAGAAGGGCATCCAGAAGTACCAGCAGGGTATCCGCGACCGGGCGGCCACACGTATTGAGGGTGGCGACATCATCAGGCAGAGGGGGTCAAACAATGGTCAAACATGGTCAAAGTCCTTCTGGGAAAATGATCTTATCCTTTGCCCGGCTACATTGGTACACAATTGATTGTAATCAATTCTATGCACTTAAAACTTTAAACATGTTTTGGCCAAATGTTAGGTCCACCAAGTTACCACTTGCTCCCATTGTTGCCAAGTGCTTCGTCACACTGAAAAACCCTGTCAGGGTGGAGGCGCACCCCATCCCCGAGCACCCCAGGCCTTGGCGTGTGAAGGATCGTGCCATCTTGGTGGGTGATGCAGCGGGCTACGTGACCAAGTGCTCCGGTGAAGGTGGAGTTGAAAATCCCATGTCATCATAGCACAGTGTACACCATATATATATATATACATATATATATATATATGTATATATATGTATATATATGTATATATATATATTTGGATATCCTCAACAAAAACAAAAAACACTTGGAAGTATTTTCAGGTGTGGAATTTGTGTCATGTTTTTCACAGGCATCTACTTCGCCGCCAAGAGCGGTCGTATGTGCGCAGAGACCATCGTGAAGAACTCCCAGCAGGGCGCACGCATGATTGATGAGGCCGATTTGATGGAGCACCTTCGCGAGTGGGATGGCAACTGGCTCGGAACAAATGTTTTATTTTTATTGTTATTTTGCTCTTGAAAGGTTTTCTTTTTTGCATTTTTGCTTGACATTTTTTGTGTCAGTCTGGTTCGGGTCCGATCCAGGCACCCACAGATCTAGTATGAAATCAATACGACAAATTATGACATGAGTTGTTTGTTTCAATCTTCCGCCCGAATATTGTTATAAATTCATCCATATCCGAGTCTTCCTTCATTGATTGATTCCAAACCAGTTCATTATTGAAGTGACTGAACAGGCAAGTACGGCCCAACCTATTTGGTCTTGGATCTGCTGCAGAAGATCTTTTACACCAGCGATGCTGCCCGTGAGAGTTTTGTGGAATTGTGCGAGGAGGAGTATGTCCAAAAGGTGGGACGTGGCTTAAAAAAGTTGGTGATGCAATAATGAATACAATGAATAGTGAATTACAATCAACTAGTTATCAACTAACCTTCAGGACTACAATCAACTACCATTGCTCATAGGACTTTAGGATTTTGAAGCTTTCTGAAAGCGATGGATAGTGTTCTGGTCGTTCCACCAGGATGCAGACAGGTTTCTTCAATCATCTTCCGGGGCGTCACCGGGGTGTTCAAAAGTGGCATGATTTATCTATCCTTCCAAAGATGGCAATTTTCATAGGGACAAGATGATTGAAAAAAAACCATGAAACCTCCCGGATCCTCCTGGATAGCTTGGATAGGTGACCTTTGACTCCTACTTGTACAAGACCGTCCAGGGCAACGATCCTGTGGGTGATTTGAAGTTGGGCTGGAAAACCCTGAGCTCTTTGTACAAGTACAAGAACCAAAAGACACCCGATCCTATGCGAACTCTGGCATAGGTGCGACTGGAGCCCGGCCAAGAACAATTTGCACATACCTGATTCATGGATAATAAATAGCATTCATTCATTTATATACTTATTTAATCACCACCCTTTTTGTGGGGTGTAAGCAAGGGGGGCGTTCAAAAAATGTAAGCAACAATTTTGACCCCTGCGTATTTTTTCCCGATGGGGAAGGCTATATGTATCTTAGACCCCTCCTACGTCAAAAACCGTGCCCCGGAAGATTTACATTTAGGGAGGGGGGTTGAAAGTCCGCAAGATATACGTCACCCCGTACCCCCCCCTTACTCTACGGATAGGGGGGGTGGGGGGAGGTAAAAATTGTTGAATGTCCGCAAGCAGTTTGTAAACTGTTTGTGAGATGTCTTTGTGGGGATGTAATCAACCTATGTCAGAGGTCCATAGTTCCTTGCAGAAAGTGTTCGAAAAAGAAGGTAAAAACTAAGATAGAAAAATGTAACCATCCTACACCTGAGGCCTATAATTCCGGGCAGAAAGTGCTTAAAAAGAAGGTAGAGATGAGATTAAAAAATGTAACCATCCTACACTTGAGGTCCTTAATTCCTTGCAGAAAGTGCTCAAAAAAGAAGGTGGAGATAAGATAGAATCATGTAACCATCCTACACCTGAGGTCCTTAATTCCTTGCAGAAATTGCTTAAAAAGAAGGTAACAAATGAGATAGACAAATGTAACCATACTACACCTGAGGCCTATAATTCCTTGCAGAAAGTGCTTAAAAAGAAGGTAACTATAAGATTTTAAAGAAAACAACATAAGGTCCATAGTTCCTTGCAGAAAGTGCTCGAAAAAGAAGGTAAAGCTAAGATTGAATTATGTAACCATCCTACACCTCAGGTTCCACAGTTCCTTTCAGAATCAACATGACACATGTGTAGATTGTTATTATATTATGGTTGGAGGGTCATAAGGAGGGCTAGATAGGAACCGTGGCAGAAGGGTGTTTAAGTTCGATCATGTAGGTACATAAAGGGGATTTACCATGGGGACCCCATAAAGGTTCATTTGAGGTCCTTTTGAGGTCCATTTGAGGTCCTTTTGAGATCTTTATTTGTATTCTATTGTTTTTTTTCCATAGGTAGTAGGTAAATTTGAAGACCTTCAACATCTAATTTTACATTTATTTGAAGTTCAAGGATTTTCCAGTAATTTGCAAGGAATATTATACCTTCTATACCTCTATATTACATGTGGACATGATAAAAAAGGTGTAGAAAAAGTGTAGAATGTATTGGAAATACCAGGCAATTGGGGACCTACACACTTCCAGCTTGCATTTTTGATTTTCTGCAATTCTGCAGCTATTTGCAGACCTTCACACTATTTTTTTACTTTTTTTTTCATTTTCTTACTTTTTTTCAAAAATGCAACGGACAATATTGAACGCCCCCCCCTGCGTTTTTTAAGAAAATAAATGAAATCCCGTAAAGAATGAGGGGACATACTAAAATGACATTTTGCAAATAAGACGCAGTTAAAAAATAAAAATAAATGCTTGCCAACATTTAACAGGACCACCTCCCTCAAAAACGTCTAAATTGTGTCTTGCAATTTGGGTATGCCCCCCCTCCTTAAAAGGGTAGTGATCTTATTTAATCTTATTTATTGATTCATCCATGATGTGTTGTCAAACCAGGGGGTATTTTGAAGATTGTCGAACGATATTGTGGTTTTAGATTCAGTCGTCCCAATGTGTCCATTGACATCTTCACCCCTGCTAGGTCTGTTTCATGATTCGCGGCGTGCAGAAACCGCTTGGGGCCAGCCATGTGTACAGCTTCGTAGCTGCACTGGTCCAAAATGATGTTTTCCATCGAGCGACGGCTGGGAAGACCAGGCTCACACGTCAAGACCGGCGAGGTTTGAAGCCAAATCTGCGGCGCAGCGGCTGAGTCAGGGGTGCGGTGCCACGAGCTACTATACTCCTCGCATTTTTCGGCTGTGTCAAACATATAAAATCCATGTAAATCCATGTAAATCCAATGTTTTTTCAGGAGTTTCTCCATGAATCTTCAATTTCGGGGTATACTGCATTTCTGGGCAAACCCCTTTCCACTGCAGAAAAATAGCTTGAAACTGGGCGGAAGAATTCTTTGTGAAGGATGCCGATGGCTAACCTGACTGATAAACCATCCCCAAAGTGACCCAATTTACCATTTCGTGGAGTGTTAAACATATTTAAAAATCATACTTGAGCTCCATAAAAAGGGTTGTTCTCGAATTTACCTCACACTATGGTTGACATTTCAAAGTGTTTTTCCATGCGGAGACTTGTAGAGTTTGATCCCAAAGACCCCATTTTTTAGGGGTGTAGCCTCAACCACGGTGCTTTTTAATCCCACCATTCAAATCAGAAAATTCTGGGCATTTCTCCGTCAGGTGAGCACCTTCCTGTCCATCTTTGGAATGATGGTGGGCACGGTTGGTCAAGGCGCCAAAAAAAAAGTGCTGGAATTTTAGAGGGATCGATAAAGCAATCTATATGAGCTATGGTCAATACTCATGGTTAATAACCATTAAAAACGGGGCTAGTCATCCAATGGTTCATAGGGATTTATAATAACCATTATAAGGATCCTTATTATGGATGGGATGACCATCTGGTTATGACTAACAGTTCGCCATGGAAAATCCCAACCATAAATGGAGGTTTCTAGCTGGGGAAATCATCTATAAATGGACCATTTTCCATGGCTATGTTAAATAACCAGAGGGTATATGTGTTCTTTTCTTTTGGGGACTGGATGATCTGAAGGAGGGTCAACGTGCCTATAAAGACATGACCTGGATGGGGAAGTGAAACGCACCTTTGGAAGTCCCAAATGGGGCTGTCTGAATTTTGCGAACCCTAAACACGTCATAACTTGGATATATGACATGCATTTTGAGACAAGTTGAAATGGAATCAAAGAGAAGAAACGGACTCAGGATTGGAACAATGTCTTGCAACGAGTTTGCTTTCCAGATGCAGCATGACCCACCGCAGACTCACCTTTTTTCATACAAGCCTATAGCAGGACTCACGAGTGGCAATGGCTCACGGCTATCCTCCAGGATGTGTTGGGGCAATATCTCCTAACGACCAATTTCTTGTGGCCCATTTGTTACCTTTTGGAAATCCAATCTGGGGAAACATCAGCCATTCGTAGATGATTTATCTCTTGAACCCCTCAAAAATTCTAGGGGATGTCCCAGCCTAGCTGGACAGTTGGGTATCCCTTCTTCAAAGCAGACCCCAGGCTTGCTCCCCACCTACAAACACGGAGACGTCGCCGGAACGATTGGCCCCTTGGGCTGGAAACCTGAGGTTTCAGTGGTTTCTGGAAGACTCAATGCTGCTGAAATCTGCTGAGTTTCTGGGTTTGTTGCTTTTTTTCACCAAATCCAAGAAAAATATAGTATAGTTATTGTATAGTTAATATATAATTATACTAGATATATAATTATGGCTTCTTTGGTGAGATCCAGATCATTATTTTGGGTGGAGCAGCAAGATTCGGGCCCAAAGTTTCACAAACCAAGGACTAGTACTGCTGGTCCTCTTGCGCCTTTTACAGGGAATCTGCACTGGTGGAGAGATTGCATCCGTGACGACCTACATCACGGAAGTCGGTGCCAAAGAATCTCTCTGCAGATCGATGATGTTGACACTTGGCCGCCAGCAATTTGTGAAATGTTCAGGTTTTTCAATGTTCATCATTTTTTCCAACATTCACCAGATGAGCCGATGATCCAAACGACATGATCTCCTTAAACGATTGGTGGCAGTTCCCTGACTCAGTGCTCCGTGCTCCGCTGTCAGGGTCGGGATCACTTGCAACATTGGATTCCTGCTGGCTCAGAGTGCCAGCTATGGCTTGGAACTGCTTGGCAAGGAGATGGGCGTTTTAGAAGCGATGAACAAATTGCCCAAAAACAGTCGCCGGTGTTTAGAACGCAGGGTGTTAAAATGCCCCGACAAAAATGCATGTTTTTGCCAAAGGAACCGAAAATACCGTGCTCGTAAAACGCAGGTTCTTGCTAGCGTGTGTTCGCAGGTCATGAAGGGGCGGGGTGGGGTGGGGGGAACATGCTAACGTTCCTTGTACTTCTTCCGCTACATGTTGCTACGTTGCACAGATGTCTTGTAGTGTTGCTTCGCTGTATACTTGAAGGGGTGGGGTGGGGTGGAACATGTTAACGTTCCTTGTACTTCTTCCGCTACATGTTGCTACGTTGCACAGATGTCTTGTAGTGTTGCTTCGCTGTATACATGAAGGGGTAGGGCGGGGGGGCATGTTAACGTTCTTGTACTTCTTCCGCTACATGCTGCTTCACTGCACAGATGTCTTCGCTGTATGAAGGGGTGGGGTGGGGGGGAACATGTTAACGTTCCTTGTACTTCTTCCGCTGCGTGTTGCTACGCTGCACAGATGTCTGGTAGTGTTGCTTCGCTGTATACATGAAGGGGTGGGGTGGGGGGGAACATGCTAACGTTCCTTGTACTTCTTCCGCTACATGTTGCTACGTTGCACAGATGTCTTGTAGTGTTGCTTCGCTGTATACTTGAAGGGGTGGGGTGGGGTGGAACATGTTAACGTTCCTTGTACTTCTTCCGCTGCGTGTTGCTACGCTGCACAGATGTCTGGTAGTGTTGCTTCGCTGTATACATGAAGGGGTGGGGTGGGGGGGAACATGCTAACGTTCCTTGTACTTCTTCCGCTACATGTTGCTACGTTGCACAGATGTCTTGTAGTGTTGCTTCGCTGTATACTTGAAGGGGTGGGGTGGGGGGGAACATGTTAACGTTCCTTGTACTTCTTCCGCTACATGTTGCTACGTTGCACAGATGTCTTGTAGTGTTGCTTCGCTGTATATATGAAGGGGCGGGGTGGTGGGGGCATGTTAACGTTCCTTGTACTTCCTCCGCTGCGTGTTGCTACGCTGCACAGATGTCTGGTAGTGTTGCTTCGCTGTATACATGAAGGGGTGGGGTGGGGGGGAACATGCTAACGTTCCTTGTACTTCTTCCGCTACATGTTGCTACGTTGCACAGATGTCTTGTAGTGTTGCTTCGCTGTATACTTGAAGGGGTGGGGTGGGGTGGAACATGTTAACGTTCCTTGTACTTCTTCCGCTACATGTTGCTACGTTGCACAGATGTCTTGTAGTGTTGCTTCGCTGTATACATGAAGGGGTAGGGCGGGGGGGCATGTTAACGTGTCTTGTACTTCTTCCGCTACATGCTGCTTCACTGCACAGATGTTTGGTAGTGTTGCTTCGCTGTATACATGAAGGGGTGGGGTGGGGGGGAACATGTTAACGTTCCTTGTACTTCTTCCGCTGCGTGTTGCTACGCTGCACAGATGTCTGGTAGTGTTGCTTCGCTGTATACATGAAGGGGTGGGGTGGGGGGGAACATGTTAACGTTCCTTGTGCTTCTTCCGCTACATGTTGCTACGCTGCACAGATGTCTGGTAGTGTTGCTTCGCTGTATACATGAAGGGGTGGGGTGGGGGGGAACATGTTTACGTTACTTGTACTTCTTCCACTACATTCATGTTGCTACGTTGCACAGATGTCTGGTAGTGTTGCTTCGCTGTATACATGAAGGGGTGGGGTGGGGGGGAACATGTTAACGTTCCTTGTGCTTCTTCCGCTACATGTTGCTACGCTGCACAGATGTCTGGTAGTGTTGCTTCGCTGTATATATGAAGGGGTGGGGTGGGGGGGAGCATGTTTACGTTACTTGTACTTTTTCCGCTACATGTTGCTACGTTGCACAGATGTCTGGTAGTGTTGCTTCGCTGTATACATGAAGGGGTGGGGTAGGGGGGGGCATGTTAACGTTCCTTGTACTTCTTCCGCTGCGTGTTGCTATGCTGCATGTCAAAAAGTGTGGCTCATTTGAACATCTGAAACTCATGGCAAACAGGAAACGAACCATGTTGTTGACTGATGGTGCCAAATGTTACCCAAAAGTGGCCCGAGAAACAAAGACTTTGCATGAGTGGATAGCCCAGAACTGCGGTGAGTTTGAAAAAACAGTCTACCGTGGAATGGAGAAAATCAGTTGCCACGCTGAAACCGATGCCGCATGGAGTGCTGTGAAAGATTTCATCCCCCCAACTCGTTGTGTTCAAAGAGCAAAGATCTTCTCCTCTATGTGAAGTGCTGGCAGTGGAGATATGTGAATCTGCATACCCATCCCCAGCAAAAAACAATTTCAACGCTGAAGCGCCTGCTTTGAAAAGCAAGAAAGAAAGAAAGAAAGAAAAGAAAGAAAGAAAGAAAGAAAGAAAAAACCTGTCAACATCCCCCAATGAGATGAACCCAAAACCCACACGAAACGCAATTTTTGTCAAATTCTCGCGCGAGAATTTGGCACAATTCGGCTTGCAGAAATGTCTGTTTCGCTATGGCGAAACGAGACTTTTGGAAAACCGTTGTTTTTACGAGCATGGTGACATGTTAGACTCCAACAAACTGAAGACCATTGTGCCCCGTAGTGATAGTACCGCTTCACCCAATTTTACACCCTGACCCTGCTTGAAATATTGCAGGAGAACATGGAAGACTGGGGCTGGCGCATTCCATTTGTGATTGCCATCATCCCTGGCACCATTGCCCCTTGGCTCCCAGCGCCGCTAGTAGTGGAAATTGAGGCTAAACCATGGGGCCCCCAAGGATTGCTAAATCAATATCCCATATCATATATCATCCCATGTCCCCAAATCACACAGAATCGCTAGATAATCTGCATATTCCAAGATGCTGGGCGTTTTCTCATGGTTGCTGAGCCCTCTAGTGTGATGTGGAGCTGGTGCTCAGGCAACGCTTGGCCGGCGCTGCATGCCCGAATCGGATGAATTCTTGGAGGCCGAATCCCAATGGGGGGGATGCCATCGATCGCCTTTGGTTTCTTTACTTTTCTTAAACATGTTCCAATCACATTGGGAAATGCGTTTTATTTAGTCACGTGTTTTCCACATGTTGACTGATTATCGATGTTACTTGGAGTGGGCTGAAGTCCCTGTGTTTTTGTTTTTGTCACTTCCTTGCATGTGGTTGGAACTTGTTGCCTGAACCTGTTGCGACTCTCGCCTCTCGCAGGGCCGTGCGCGGGGACAAGCGGCAGCACAAACTGATGAATCGGAGGCTTGCTTTGAGAGCAGGAAAGTTGCAGGAAAAACATGTTCCCTAAAAAAAAATAACACATCTATTGTTGGACAAGGATGGCATTTGTTGGTGACCAAATTTGTGGAAACTAGACTGGAGAGAATGGCCGGGCTGCCAGATCTCAGGGCTTGGAGGATGACGGTTTCTCATCGGCTTCATTTCTTGGATCACTTTCAAGGGCCACATGAATCCCTGTCCAAGCTGAAGCCACCTTGCCATGTGTCTCTGCCGCATAATTTGTTCAGCTGTTCAAACCTTTGGCGTCCTTCCAACTGGCGTTTTCCAATCCGTTTGCTGTAGAGAAGGCCTGCTGCAGAAGGCCAGGTTCCGCAAGAGGTGGAAGATGTGGACGGGGAGTCCAAAGTGGAGCTGAAAGGGGATCCCTTTGAGATTCGTCTCATCAGCCTTATTGGGGATGAAAAACTGGTCTCCGTGGAGCCCTCCAGCAACATTGCTGAGTTGCAGAAGTTGGCAGCTAAAGCTTTGAACTGGGAGAGGCCTTGGTGTATCAAATTCGCCCAAGGCAGCAGTGCCGTTGCCACTTCCTCCCCAGAAACGACCCTGCAGGAGCTGGGTCTCCTGGAGGACTGTGAGCTGATGGTCCTGAGAAGGGAGCCTTGGCGCCGCCAGAATTTGGGTTGTAGCCGCTACAACAACAACTATGCGTGCCACGTCCGGGAACTGCGTGAGGTGGGCCCGGCGGAGCTGGAATTGGACTTCGCCGCACACGGCGACAATTCGCTGGGACCCTTGCAGAAGGCGGAAGCAAGTGTGCTGGTTTGGGAATCGGAGGCCGGGGCGACGGATGATTCTCCGGCGACGAGCCTTGGGGAGATTGAGTTTATCTTTCAGGGCCGTGTGGACCCCCAACGGCAGCAGCTGCTGGAACTGCTGCGCGACCCGCCGCGCTTGCGGAAAGCCAGGGGCCGGGTGAACTTCACCGTGGAGACCGAGCGACAGAAGGAAGGTACCATGACCTTTTCCAATGTCCCAACCTCTGGACGGGTGAGTTTCATCTTTGGGGAGGGTGGCTACTCCCACCTGATCATGACCCTCGGCCCTGAGGACGATAGTGAGGCCAAAGCTTGATGTACAGATTTCTTGATATTTCACTGAGATTTTAGGATGTTTCTTTGATTAGGCGGCTGAGACAGGGATTCACAGATGGACAGTGCGTGAGCTCCTGATTGTTAAAAACAAAGCCCCAAGATTCATTTCAGCACTCAGAAGACTTAGGACGTATCAATTGCAGAAAGGCATGGATTAGACCTAGCAGCTCTCAGACTGTGCGTGACATGGGTGCGGGCTATGTGGTAAACCATTCCCAATATGATCGTAAAAGACCATAAATGGATGGTATATAAACCATAAATTGGTTTTCTCATGTTTTCACCATTAATTACTATGAGTTTGTGCATGGCTTATGCTCGCAGCAGTCTCCAAAGCACTGGGGATATCGCCATATCGCCCCGTTTGCCTTGCTTTCTAAAGCTACAGATGGCATCCGCTTAATAGATCTTAATAGCAGTGGCACAACTATCAGATTCAATATATTCAATGATTCTGAAGAATCAATTATGATATATTATGATATATTATGATACAAGTATCGCACTTTGAGCCTCAGATTTCGGCAGACTGAATTCTTGTTGTTGATCACCGATCACACAATCCGCACCTAAATGTCTGGAAGGGAAACCCAGTCCACCAGTCGGACAGGCGAGCGAGTCTCAAATCTCCGACACAGCGAAAGGAGGCATCGGTGACAGATCTATAGACTTGTATCACTCTGTATGACTTGTCTGAAACTTTAGAATGCCCCCCAGTGCATGATTTTGCCATATATTTTTCCGATGGCTCGGTTTGAGGCACCGGGGAAGCTTGCAGAAAGATGAAGCATTTGATCAGCGGGCTCTGGGCCAAGCTGCTGGTTGGAATTGGTGCTGTGGTGGCCGCCTCGGTGTTGCAGTATGGCGGGCTCATTTGGTGCAGCCCCTGGCTTGAAAAGTGCTGGGACGTGCTGGGTGCCATGATGGCTGATGTTAAATGATGTTAAATGATATTAAATGATGTTAAATGGGTGGATTGGTTTTTAACTCTGGAGATACCAACATGATCCAATAGGAACATGCCAACATTTTATGCGCACCCTATGGCTTTGTTGCAAGTGAATCACGAGGCTGTTGGGGATTGGTCCAGCGACTGAGGCGTACTGCTACAGAAGAAGGGCACAGATCCGCCAATTCTCTTGGCCGCAGGTGGGGATCCTTCGGGGGCGAAGGAAGAACCACTGAGGTTAAAACCAACAAAACAGGGCTTGTAACCTGATGGATTCGGCAACTACTATAGTAATGAGGATTTACTGAAGATGATCGCTTACAATTAACATGAGGAGAAGCTGTTGATGAGCCCAAAATCTCGAAACTGATTTCATTGGCTGGATATAGTTCCCCACCTGCCAGGTGAGGGTTGTTAGATTTTATCAGAGTTGTTCTTCTCCTCCTCCTCGGCTAGCTCTTCTCCTCCTTCTCCTCCGCCTGTTTCGCCTCGACCATGTCTGCATCAACTTCCACCTCAACTTCCGCCTTGCCAACTCTTCGCCAAGCTCTTTGCCAACTTCCCAGCTCAGTGTGCACCGCTGGACCTCAACTTGGGACCTTCCCAGCTCAGTGCGCACTGCTGGACCTCAACCTGGGACCTTCCCAGCTCAGTGTGCACTGCTGGACCTCAACCTGGGACCTTCCCAGCTCAGTGTGCACCGCTGGACCTCAACCTGGGACCTTACCAGCTCAGTGTGCACCGCTGGACCTCAACCTGGGACCTTCCCAGCTCAGTGTGCACCACTGGACCTCAACCTGGGACCTGCCCAGCTCAGTGTGCATCGCTGGACCTCAACCTGGGACCTGCCCAGCTCAGTGTGCATCGAAAGCTATAAGATATGCCAGGTAGAATGCCAGAAGATATGCCAGATAGAATGCCAGATAGAATGCCAGAAGATTTGCCAGATAATATGCCAGAAGATCTGCCAGATAGAATGCCAGAAGATATGCCAGAACATATGCCAGGTAGAATGCCAGAAGATATGCCAGATAGAATGACAGAAGATATGCCAGATAGAATGACAGAAGATATGCCAGATAGAATGCCAGATTAAATGTCAGATAGAATGCCAGAAGATTTGCCAGTAACAAAATGTATAAATGTCATGGTGGGGATCACACGAAGTAAAGTATTTTTTTTTTCTCCGGGTCATGGTGCTGCCACCAGTGGACCTGAATTTTTTAGCCAGGTATTACTGCCCGTATCTTATCCATACTCTTGGTGCCAGCTGTGTCATGGCTTGCAGTTCCTTAGCTGGCGAAGGGTACGGGATCCGCCACTCGGGCAAGCGAAGAAATCCAACGATGGGAGCCCAAGAATCCAACCTAAGTAAGCACTGTTAAAACCCCCGGTTGGCTGGAGTTACATATAAGAATTCATCCTGGGAATCCTGTTCTTGATCGAACAGAAACCATCGGAATTCATCCGATGGATAGGTTAGAGCATTTCTAGCCAGGGTTGTCTAATAAAAGATATAAAAAGGGCATCCCCCAAATCCAGTGCTGGTTACATTTTCCTTCCTAAAATGGTCAGAAAAGGTTAAAAGAAGGCTATTCAGTATTCCGATATGCCCCACTTTCAGACACCAACATTTCTGAATTCTACAACCAAGTCACAGCCCAAGGACACGCAGGGAATTGCATGGATTCTCTTCCTGGGCTCTTCACTGCTTGCTCTGCTGGGCGCGCCCCTGTACATGGTTATGACAGTGACCAAGCTGCAGGTTCTACAGAGCTTACAACACTTGCAACTTCCAACGGCTAAATCATCTTCAATCATGTCAAATCATGTTTCAGAAATCATCTGCAGTTGGAGACCTGATTAAGTCATCTTGAAACGTTTAAATATGTTTAAATCTTCTATCAACCAACACCGAACCGCATTGGGAGAGTTCCAAATATCATCTACCAGAAAAGGAGACCGCTGTACAAACTGTACCCTGTCTGAACACACCAAGCAGGGTACAAAAGGTTCGCTTTGAGGAGGAATCTTCCCCTGGAGTCTAAGAAATGACTTGGACATACTTGGAAGACAAATTGTTTCAGCAACGCCGACCTGTTTCAGCCGGTTACCCTGTCTGAAAAATTGCCCACTCAGATTTCCCAATCGAAAGTCCGTGGATCTCACCTTTTGTCCAGGAAAAGTCTGGACATCCCATTGGTTCACGGCGGTGGTTTCACCATATTCCACCCACATACTGTTTTGCAGGTTCAGAAATCCTGCACCAGTTGATACATGGTAAACATCCCACTTTTTTTTTTTAAAGGGTTTTAACCTTCCAAGGTGGTGCAGGGTTTCTTCCATCCACAGTAGCAATCCTTTCTGGGAACATCTGAGACCTACTTCAACAGCTTCGAAGCGGTGGTGGCCAGCTACGGCCTAGGTCAGCTGATGAAAGTTGAGGAACTCCGATTCTTAAAAGGTTCCATTCACTGTACCACTTATAATAATGCATATGTACAGTATGTATGTATATATATATATTATCATATAGATATTATTGATATAATATAACTAAGAATCAGGTTATACTTATATGGCGGTTTGGGTTGGTGGTTTGGAAGTCTGGGAAATCAGAGTTATGTGCAAAATAGATTTGAAATCATTGTATTTGTTTTATTTTTTGTTTAACTAATCTAAATCTAATCTAATCTAATCTAATCCTAATCCCTAATCCCTAATCCCTAATCCCTAATCCTAATCCCAAATCCTAGTCCCTAATCCCTAATCCCTAATCCTAATCCCTAATCCTAATCCTAATCCCTAATCCCTAATCCTAATCCCTAATCCTAATCCTAATCCCTAATCCCTAATCCTAATCCCTAATCCCTAATCCCTAATCCTAATCCCTAATCCTAATCCCTAATCCTAATCCCTAATCCTAATCCTAATCCCTAATCCTAATCCCTAATCCTAATCCCTAATCCCTAATCCCTAATCCCTAATCCCTAACCCCTAATCCCTAATCCCTAATCCCTAATCCTAATCCCTAATCCTCATCCTAATCCCTAATCCTCATCCCTAATCCCTAATCCCTAATCCTAATCCCAAATCCTAGTCCCTAGTCCCTAGTCCCTAATCCCTAATCCCTAATCCTAATCCCTAATCCTAATCCTAATCCTAATCCCTAATCCCTAATCCCTAATCCCTAATCCTAATCCCTAATCCTAATCCCTAATCCTAATCCTAATCCCTAATCCTAATCCCTAATCCTAATCCCTAATCCCTAATCCTAATCCCTAATCCCTAATCCTAATCCCTAATCCTAACCCCTAATCCTAATCCTAATCCCTAATCCCTAATCCTAATCCCTAATCCCTAATCCTAATCCCTAATCCTAATCCCTAATCCTAATCCCTAATCCCTAATCCCTAATCCTAATCCCTAATCCTAATCCCTAATCCTAATCCCTAATCCCTAATCCCTAATCCCTAATCCTAATCCCTAATCCTCATCCTAATCCCTCATCCCTAATCCCTAATCCTAATCCCTAATCCCTAATCCCAATCCCAATCCCTAATCCTAATCCCTAATCCTAATCCCTAATTCTAATCCCTAATCCTAACCCCTAATCCTAATCCCTAATCCTAATCCCTAATTCTAATCCCTAATTCTAATCCCTAATTCTAATCCCTAATTCTAATCCCGAATTCTAAATCCTAATGCTAAATCCTAATTCTAAATCCTAATTCTAAATACCTAATTCTAAATCCTAATTCTAAATCCTAATTCTAAATCCTAGTTCTAAATCCTAGTTCAAAATCCTAGTTCTAAATCCTAATTCTAAATCCTAATTCACAACAGCAGGGCCTGTTGGGTTTCAATCTCTAGGGCTGGGGCTGGCTCGCGGGGACTTGCAGCCTTCAAAATCCGGAATGGAACCCTGGAACCCTGGAACCCTGGAACCCTGGAACCCTGGAACCCTGGAACCCTGAAACCCTGAAACCTTGGAACGCCGGAACCCTGGAACCCTGGAACCCTGGAACCCTGAAACCTTGGAACCCCGGAACCCTGGAACCCTGGAACCCTGGAACCCTGAAACCCTGGAACCCTGGAACCCCGGAACCCTGGAACCCTGAAACCCTGGAACCTTGGAACCCTGCGACCGTGGAACCCTGAAACCTTGGAACCTTGGCACCCTGGAACCCTCAAGGATTCTGGAACCCCGCTACCTTGGAACCCTGGAACCTTGGAACCCTGCAACCCTGCACACCTGGCACCCTGCTGGGATCCTGGAACCCTTGGAACCCTTGGAACCCTGGAAACCTTGGAACCCTGAAACCGTGGGACCCTGGTACCCTGGAACCCTGGAACCCTGAAACCTTGGAACCCCGGAACCCTGGAACCCTGGAACCCTGGAACCCCGGAACCCTGGAACCCTGAAACCCTGGAACCTTGGAACCCTGCGACCGTGAAACCCTGAAACCTTGGAACCTTGGCACCCAGGAACCCTCAAGGATTCTGGAACCCTGCTACCTTGGAACCCTGGAACCTTGGAACCCTGCAACCCTGCACACCTGGCACCCTGCTGGGATCCTGGAACCCTGAAACCCTGGAACCCTTGGAACCCTTGCAACCCTGGAAACCTTGGAACCCTGAAACCGTGGGACCCTGGTACCCTGGAACCTTGGAACCCTTGAAACCCTAAAACTTCCAAACCCTAAACTCTATGCGCGCTGCGCGCGCTGCATGCAATAAAGTAAACCCTAAAACTTCCAAACCCTAAACCCTAATGCGCGGTGCGCGCGCTGTGTCCCAGAGAAGTAAACCCTAAAGTTTCCAAACCCTAATTCATCGTGTTATGCAACTTCCAAACCCTAAAGTTTAACCCGCGGTGTGCGCGCTGCATGCAATAAAATAAACCCTAAAACTTCCAAACCCTAAACCCTAATGCGTGCTGTGCGCGCTGCGTGCCAGAGATAAACCCTAAAACCTTCAAACCCTAAACACTAATGCGCGCTGCGCGCGCTTTGTGCAATAGAAATAAACCCTAAAATCTTCAAACCTGAAACTCTCGTGTCATAGAGGTAAACCCTAAAATTTCCAAACCCTAAACCCTAAACCCTAACGCGCGCTGCGCGCGCTGTGTGCCATAGAAGTACCCCTTAAAATCTCCAAACCCTAAACCATCGTGTCATGGAGGTTAACCCTAAAACTTCGAAACCCTAAAGTTCAACCCACGCTGTGCACGCTGCATGCAATAAAATAAACTATAAAATTTCCAAACCCTAAACCCTAATGCGCGCTGCGCGCACTGCGTGCCACACACATAAACCCTAAAACTTTCAAACTTTAAACCGTAACGCGTACTGCGCGCACAGCCTGCCATAGAGGTAAACGGTTAAACTTTCAAACGCTGCGTGCCATAGAGGCAAAGCCTAAAACTTTCAAACGCTAAACCGTAAAGCAGGCTGCGCGCGCTGCGTGCCATAGAGTGCTCCTCAAAAGTGATTACATGTCATACTTTAGTGGCATCCTCCAAATTCATTAGTCAGCCTTTGTTAATCCAGGGCCCATTTTACACATGTCATCTTCTTGGTCGTGGCGCCATTTCAGGATCACACTGATGACCTAAGCTTTGGCCTTAACTATTATGCAGGCAAGCGACATCAGCACGCTATGGTATTGGAAGACACAGGGTTTGCCCGTAGACCAGCCAAAAAATCGATTTTCCACACTGAACAATTGGATTTAACACATTTAGAATAGGAGCTCCGCCTGATTCAGATTTCATCACTTAAAAGGTACCCATGCCTGACTAGCCTTCATGACTTAAAGCGTAACCACACCCGACTTAAGGGAACCATGCCTGACTAGCCTTCATAATTAAGAGGTACCCACCCACGCCTGACTTAACAGAACCCATGCCTGACTAGCCTTCATAATTAAAAGGTACCCATGCCCCTGAATTCAGGGAACCATGCCTGACTAGCCTTCACAATCAAAAGGTACCCGCTGGAACCATGCCTGACTAGCCTTAATGACTTAAAAGGTAACTACACCTGACTTAATACCTGATTTACTGGTTTTGCCTGATTTTGGAAAAACGCAGGGCCGGAATTTGCCGGGCTGGGATTTTGGGGTCATGCCTAAATAGGATTTTTGCAAAAATCGTGCATGACTGAAGGGAACCATGCCTGACTAAACATCATACCAATCATCCCAAAAAAAACCAATAATTCCAGCAAGTGATGCCTGACCAATCCCTGCGTCATAATAAACCGTCTGTCCCTCCCCACCCAATAATGAACACACGGAATAGTTTTTTGTATTTAGTGGGTATTTAGTATGAGGGTGCGAAACTTCCCCCTTGGTAAAAAAAACTAAATTGGAAAACATTTTTTAAATAACATCTAACTAAAATATTGCCAAAATTGGATTCCGAAGCTTCCCCCTGACATTAAATTGAAAATATTCATTAAAAAAAATGAACTTTATATTTCAAAACCGATTGAATTCCTATTCAAAATCTAACTCAAATCTTGCCAAATTGGATTTCGAAGCTTCCCCTTATATTAAATTGAAAACCTTACTAATCCCCACCTCCTTTTACTAAACGTACCCTAAATACTAAAATATTACATTGATTCCTTTTACTAGGGTCCGCGTTAAATTTTGGGAAATTTCAGGCTGGCCAGTTTGACTTTTAATTGATACCTTTTCAAAAACAAATTAAACATGAAGGTCCCATTTCAGGATTTCACCACCAAAAAATAAAAACTAGTCAGCCCCGGTGATTTTTTAAACTAGGGTCTTTTAAGGTCGAAAAAATAAGTATTTTATATTACAACGTTTATATAATATTGGGGGAAAACTTCGAAATCCACTTTTTGGCATTTCCTGGCAATATTTTTGCTGGATGTCAAAAGGAAATCTAATCGATTCTTGAAATCGAAAAAACATAGTTTTTTTTTTCATTAGTGTTTTTAATTTAATCTTAGGGGAAAACTTCGAAATCCAATCTTTAGCAATATCTTAATTATATGTTAAATAGAAAACTAATCGATTTTGAAACATTTTTTTTTAAAAATATATTAAGATTGGTAATTTAATATTAGAGGAAACATTTCGAAATCCGGTTTTTGTTTTTATTTTTGTTACTACAATTTAAAAGAAAATCGAATCGATTTCAAAAAAGAAAAATAACATTTTATATTAGGATTTTTTAATGTAATATTAGGGGAAAACTTCAAAATCCAATTTTTGACCATATTCTAATTAGATTTCAAAAGGAAATCTAATGAATTTTGATATAGAAAAAATAGTCTTTGATATGAGGGTTTAATATGAGGGGAAAGCTTCGAAATCCAATTTCTGGCAATATCTTAATTTGAATTTACAAGGAAATCTAATCGATTCTGAAATAGGACAAATTTAGTTTTT